CTTCCCCGAGTTAGGGGGAGAGGCCCCCCCCCCCCCCTCCCCGCCACCCATCCTACCCCCCTCTCTCGGATGCTCTTTTACCGAGTACGAGGCGATGCTCCCCCCCCCCCTCCCCCCTCCCCCACCCCTCCCCCACCCCTCCCCCACCCCTCTCTCGGATGCTCTCTCGGATGCTCTCTCCGCGAGGAGGCGGTCGGCTCGGGCCATGCCGTGACGCCTCCGCGACGTGTCCGCGACAGGTGATGCTCTCCACGAGGCCCGACAAGGCGGTCGGCGCGAGGCCTGGCGCGCTCAAACGGCAGCCGCGCGGCCAAACCAAGGCGACTGTGAGCAGGCGGTCGGCTCGGACGAGATCTGGGACAAGGCGACGAGCGCCCTTCGCGAGGCGCTCGGCGCAAAGGGGTGGGAGTACGACGTCGACGAGGGCGGCGGCGCCGCGCACGTTTGCGGACGCCGTGTGGCCTGCGGTTGAGCGGCCGTCTCTGCTCTCAGGCGGCGGCGCCTTCTACGGCCCAAAGATCGACATCAAGATCCGCGACGCCATCGGGAGGCTCTGGCAGTGCTCGACGATCCAGTGCGACTTCAACCTGCCGCAGCGGTCCGGCCTCGAGCGTGGCGTGGCGAGACGGCGAAAGGGGGGGGCCTCACCCCTAGACTCGTGCGGCTGGTAGGTTCGGCCTCGAGTACGTGTCGCCGGACGGCGGGCGCGAGCAGCCGATCATGCTGCACCGCGCCATCTTCGGGTCGCTCGAGCGGTTCTTCGGCGCGCTCACCGAGCCGACGGCAGGCGACGGCTCCCCATCTGTGAGCGCGTCTCTTCACACCGCCCTTGTCCGCAGGCGTGCTCATCGAGTCGACGGCGGGCGACTTCCCCTTTTGGCTCGCGCCGACGCAGCTGCGGCTGCTGCCCGTCTCGGACGACTACCGGCCGTACTGCGACGCAGCGGTGGCGCGGCTCAAGGCGGCGGGCATCCGCGCGGAGGTCGACCCCGGCGGCCGATCCGTCGGCAAGCAGATCAAGGTCGCCAACCAGGACAAGGTGCGAAGCTACGCCAGTCGCTTGCACGCTCACCGCCCCGTCACCGCGCTGGCCTCGCCCGCCCCCCGAAACCCGCCGTCTCGTCTCCCTCCTGGCCACTCGCCCCCTCGCCCCCTCGCCTCCTCGCCTCCGTCGCCTCCTCGCCTCCTCGCCCCGTCGCCCCCTCTCCTCCTTGCCTCGCCTCCTCGCCCCCTCGCCTCGCCTCGCCCCCTCGCCTCGCCTCGCCTCCTCGCCCCCTCGCCTCCTCGCCTCCGTCGCCTCCTCGCCTCCTCGCCCCCTCGCCTCCTCGCCTCCGTCGCCTCCTCGCCTCCGTCGCCTCCGTCGCCTCCTCGCCTCCTCGCCTCGCCTCCTCGCCTCCTCGCCTCCTCGCCTCCTGCTTCGCCGCGTCGCCTCCCCCACCCCGTCCCACTCTCGCCGACCCCCCTCAGGTGCCCATCCTGTCGGTGGTGGGCGAGGCCGAGGTTGGCGCGAACGCCCTCAAGCTCGAGATGCGCAAGGGGGGCGAGCTGGGCGAGCTGCCGCTCGAGCGCGCCATCGAGGTGCTCGCGGCGGCGGCGGAGAAGGCGGTGGAGCCTATCGAGGCGCTGTGAGCGCCGCGTCTCTCTCTGCCTCCCTCCCTCCCTCCCTCCCTCCCTCCCTCCCTCCCTCCGTCTCTCCCTCGCTGCGAGGCCTCTCCAACTCCTCTCATACTCCTCATCCCTCCTCTCCTACTCTCCTCTTGCTCCTCTCCGACTCCTGTCTCGTCCGCCTCTCCCTCGGTGGCTTTTGGAGGGGGGGGGGGGGGTAGACGCGAGAGGGAGGTTGGGCACCGCTGGCGGAACAGCCGTGTATTTCGCGAGGGGCGGTTGGTGCTCTTGAGAGGCGCGTGATTTTCTGTTTTGTGTATCACGTCAGGTCCAGGGCGTTTTATAACCGCACACACCGAGAGAAGAGAGTACGTGGAGAGGGACAGAGACACGTCAGACCGGAAATAAATGAAATAAATATGTCATCGATCTATGAGTAAAGCGCCGTCTGTTGATCTGAACGAACCCCATTGACTAGCCACTGACACACTCGTACGGACATACACATGGCTGGAGCACTGTAGAGGGACTGTACTAGCAGACGTTGGACCTTTGTACACTACAAGGTCTTGCGGACCTCGAGCGCGACGACCGGCGCGTCGGCAGAAGGGCCAGCGGAGGGCAGGCACTGCACCCTGGGGAGAATATTGGACAAGGCCTTGGACAACTGCTGCAGGAGAGTGGGCTTCTCCTCGTCGGGAGCTGCCGAGGGTGCAGCCACCTCGTCGGCAGGCTCAGGCGCTGCCTCGGGCGCTGCCTCGGGCGCTGCCTCGGGCGCTGCCTCGGGCGCTGCCTCGGGCGCTGCCTCGGGCGCTGCCTCGGGCGCTGCCTCGGGCGCCTCAGCGTCCTCGACCGGCGCCTCCTCGCCTGCCTGGGGCTGCTCGATCACGGGCTTGGAGCCCTTGCGCGGCGAGAGGAATGCGGCAATGATGCCAACGATGGACTCACCTGGCCGCGGGGTGGGGGCCGCCTCGCCAGCTGCGACTGCCGCCGCCGCCTGCGAGTACTCCAGCCGTGCCTCCACCTCATCGATCGTCTCCGCCGACGCCTCCTCTGGCGCCTCCACCGCAACCTCAACCAGCGCGCGTGCGACCGGCTCCTCCGTCGCCGGCGACTCGGCCTCCACCGCCCCGACCGTCTTGACAGGCTCAACAGCAGCCTCAGAGTTGCAGCCCGAGATGCAGTCGGTCACCTTGTCCAAACATGACGACGAGTTGGCCGACGCAGCCGGCGGCGGCAGCTCCTCGGACTCCGCCTCGGAAGGCGCCGGGTCGGCTGGTGCCGCCTCCTTCTTGGGCTCCTCGCCCTCCGCCGTCTCAAACGCAACCGGCGTCGCCACATCAGGCGCCTCCGCCGCCGGCGCGTCGGCCACCGCCGTCTCCTCGGTCTCCTCAACAGCAGGCTCAGACTTGCGGCCCGAGAGGTAGTCGGCCACACCGTCCAGGATGGAGGACGCCGTTGTGGCCGGCGCGGGCGGCAGCATCTCCTCGACGGACTCGGTCGCAACAGGCGCGTCCTCGGCTGCGATCTCCTCTCCCACCGCCTCCTTGGGCTCTGCCACCGCCTCCTCTCCGTCAGGCTTCACGTCCGAAGGTGCTGCACCGTCGGCTGAGATCTCAGCGGGCGCGACGTCGAGCGTGGTTTCGTTGGCAGCAGAGCCGGCGGCAATGCAAAGCTGCTCCGGCTGCGGCTGCGGCACCGGCTCGGCGAGGACGTCGTTGGTCGACTTGGAGCTGCAGCCACCCATTCGCGCTGACTACCTGACTTGCGGACTTGCTGTGGAGTTTACTTCCTTTGCGTGCGTCCCCCCTTGCGACGTCGTGCCGAGATAGTTTGCGGTGAGACTCGACGCAACGTTTTTCTGTATTCCTTTTTCTTTTGGATGTCCCTCTGGCAGTGAGACCGCCTGCGTAGACGTCCTGGCAGGAGCTCTATCTATGAGGAACCTCTTCCCAAGAGCACCACTCTTGAAAGCCACCTACCACTACCACCCAGAGCGCTGCAAGCAGCGCCGGGCAATGACGGCTTACCGCCCCCCCAGCCCCCCCTCGGCACACCCCGGCAGCCAATGTGTGACGGCTCGAACCCGCTAAGCCATCCCGCAAGCGGGATGGCCCGCCACTCGAACGCTCGAACCCGCAAGCGGGCGTACACGAACCGCGAGCGGCTCGCACTCGTGACACGCAGGCGTCCGACTGACGGCGCCGGGGCTAGGCGACCGAAGAGGAACTACGGCAAGAGCCGCACACCACCCGCTGACGAGCGCTCGCGGAACTGGTCCGCGGCGCCCGCCAGGGTTTGGTTTGGCGGGAGACGAGCCTGAACCACTACACGCAGTAGCTCGGCGGCGAGGTGGTCGAGCTCGTGAGCGCCGCGGACCTCAAGGCGCTGGAGGCGCGCGTGGGGGCGTGCGAAAAGGGGCTCGCAGCGCAAGGACGCCAAGATCGGCGCGCTCCGCGATAAGCCGGCCCCGCCCAACCCGCCGGCGGCCACGGCTCGCCCGCCGGCAGCGGCGCGGCGGCAGCTCTCCTCCGCGACTGGCGACTGGCGACGAGTTCGCCATCACGGGGAGGAGGGCGACGATCTCCTTCAACAGCCGCACGCCCGACCTGACGCCGACCCGCCTGACCGGCGAGGGAGGCGGCAAGCTGACGTGCAGCGGCGAGCTGCACGCCGCGACGGACTTTGTCACGGCGGACGGGGAGAGTGTCCCGAGCGGATCGAAGCGCTTCGCGGCAATTTCACTGAGTTCGTCACGGAGCAGCTCAAGGACGGTGTCTCGCAGGGGCTCGCGAGCGTGAGCGAGGAGCTCGAGGCGGTTCGGAAGTTTGTGGGCATGGTGTCGCCGTCGCCGCCGTCGCCTCCGTCGCCTCCGTCGCCGCCGCTTGCGCCGCCTCCGGTAGCGCCGCCTCCGACCTTTCCGCCAGCGTGCGTTTGGTCGGCCTGCACAGTTGAGTACCTCAACCTCGCCGACACCAACTCGAGCCTGAAGGGCTTCCGTGGCGGCTTCGCCACTGACGCACACGCCTACTACGTGCCGTGGGACTACGGCGCGCGCAGCGGCTACGCGGCGTGCGTCTTGCTCTCCATCTAAGGAATTTGGAGCCTCGAGCTTGATGGAGCAGGCGGACGTCCGTTCGTGCCTCCCCCCTCCCCCCCCCTCGCATTGGCGCGTTTCTCTGGGTCGTCTCTGGGCTTTTGGGTCTATTGTAGGGGGTGTGCATTGGGCTGGGGGTTTAGCCCCTCTCCGTGTAAGTTCTGGTCTTGTAGTGGCGCATTGGGCTGGGGTTTGGGGCCCCTCTCTGAGTGCCGGCCGATATGTGAGTTCGTTCGTTCACCTGTTTGTCGCCGCCGCGCGCGCACCTTGCTAGATCTAGAGTACGAACCTGTCCCCATGTCCAGCTCGGCGTCCCACCTCCTGGATGGAAATCAATCGCTTCCCCACGGGCACGGCGCTCTCGTCGAGGCTCGAGCCGAGCTCTCTCGGCGCACTCTACTTTAGTCTCTAGACTCGCTACGGCTCTGGATCGTCTCTATACAGACAGGCTTCTGGGTCTTGTGGGGGATGATTGTGCATTTGGCTGGGGGGTTGACCCCTCCAAAGTGGGTTCTGCGTCAGCTTTTTCGGTTGACCTCTGGCGGGGCCCCGCCCGGGGGGGCGCCGGCGGGACCGGGAGCCTGACCCCTGACGTCAGCTGACCCCACCTGTGCCCTGACCCCATACGTACGGTCTGGCTGGAGTGGCGTCTGGGGCCGGCGTGTGAGCGGTGTGCGGTGAAGAGGCCCCCAATCAATGGAGGCTCGCACATCATTCTACAACCATGAATCAACTCCAGCGCTCACGGCGCAACTAAGAGCCACACCCTGCCAGTAGCACCGCTCAAGGAAATGCAACGACGCACGGGACACGGAGTAAGCACGCGAGTACGGCGACGGAGCCTCAGCTGTGCATCCCCGTGCCTCCCCCCCCCCCCCCCCCCAAACTACGCCTCGCCGCTCCAGAGAGAGGCTCGCCGCGCAGCACACCGCTGCGCGAAAGCCCCCATCACTGCGAGAGCGCGCGGCGGATATGGACCCAGACCCATGTGGGTCGCCGACGCGGCAAACGCCTCCCGCCCCTCCTCCCCGGCGGGTCGCTGTGCCTGCTCATGTGAATTGCTCAAGATGGCGTTTGCCGTGTGTGCAGCCGCCAAGGTTAGACATGCTCCTGCACCGCCTCCACCGAGACCGCGGACTCCTCCGAGACCACCGAGACCGTCGCCTCGCCTCCAGAGCCGTCGCCCGCGGTGGTTGTCTTCGCAGAGCTGCGGCGGCTGATCGTGGGAACGAGCCGGCTGCCACGCTTGGCGATGCTGCCCGAGAGGCGGCTCATCCTTGCGACGCTGCCCGCCCGAGCGGGAGTCGCGCCGAGGTCCTTTGCCAGAAGCGCGAGCGACACCTGCAGAACGGAACGCCCTGGCTGGCGAGTACCGCTGGTGTGCGCAAGAAGAGATGTAAACAAAGCGCGCGCGCGCCGGGTGGTGGCGCCCCGGGAAGCACGAGCGCGCGAGGTCCTTGTAGAGTCCATCGGCGATGAGCTCCTGCAAGGGAGGGTACGCGGGTGAGGGGAGATTACGCGCCTGAGATTGAGAGCATAATGACCCAACCCCAGCCCGCTCCTGCGGGGTGACTTCGAAAAACCTCGAGAAGAGGCAGCCGCCACGGTCCGGGTCGTTCTCGTGCGCCATGACGATCTTCAGCCTGTCCTGGCGCGCCTGTTTGACCTGCTCGGCCAGCCGCTCGTCGCTGAAGCTGTCCTCGTTGAGGTAGAGCAGCATGTGCGTCACGGTGGCCGGCCGAGCATCGGCGGTGGAGATCGTGAGACCGGCAACGGCGTCGGCAATCTCTTCAGCCAAGACCTGTGCGCCCGCGTTGGCCGGCGAGGCCCAGAGCATGGTCTCCTTGGCAAAGGCGAGCAACTGGCTCTCGGGCTCGCCCGGCACGCAGAGCGGGAGGGAGGTCTGGTTCACGTAGTTGGGCGAGCAGAGGAGCACCGCCTGTAGTTCAAGGGTGCCGGGGCTGAGGTCTCGGGAGGGGCGAGAGGGCTGCGGCTGCGTCCCGCTGCGCCTCGACGATGGTCTTGAGCGAGACGCGCTGGAATTCCTGGATTCGCATGTAGATGGTGTGCGCCCAGCCCTTTTCAAAGATGTCCGGCTGCAGGTCCTCGGGGCATTCGCCGCGCAGCGCCTGCAGCGTCGCGCCGCCCTTTGCAGGGTCCGCCTCTTGCACGAGGACGAGCGGCTTGTCCATCTCGAGCGACGAGCGGATCTCGCGGAGGCAGTTCTGGTGGCACGCAAGCAGGCGGGCGGTGAGCCGTGGGGAGTGTCGAGGGGCGCAGCAAACTCGGGTGCGTTGAGAGCCAGAGGATCCCGAGCGCGGAACAGGGCGGCGAGAGCGCGCCCGGGAGCGGAAGTAGCCACACGAGAGGAAGAAGAGGATCATTTGCGTGTGCTGGATGTACTCCTCCAGCGCCCCAATATCCTTTAAATCATCCACCTGTGCGCACTCCGCGGTGCGTCGGAAGGGCTGTGTGTAGTTAAAGCAGCGCGGCTGAGCCTGTGCGCGCGTCGAGAAAGATCTTGAGGCCCGGCACCAGCAGCTCGAGCTCACTCTTGATGTTTCCGACGGCGTCTTGACCGGTCGACCTGCATGGTTAGGGGGGGTTGGAGTTGGATGCGGCCTGGCTTGATCACCCTCCCTAGCTGCGCGACGCACCAGATGTGCGAGAGGAACAGGTGCCATGTGAGGCCGGTCACGATGCTCAGCTCGGGGGGCTGCTTAGTCGAGACGAGACGGACCGTGGGGACCTTGGCGACGCGGCGGGCGGCGACGACGGCGCCGATTAAGAAGACCACGAGCGCAAAAACAACGAGGCCGATCATCGTGTCCACGATCGCATTGAGCTTGCCGAAGCCGAGGACATCGGCGGGGTCGGCTTCCTGGTACCGCTCCTCGATGCCGAGGAAGATGGTGGTCCAGTTGGTGCCGAGGAAGAGGAGGAGGAGCGCGAGGCTCGTGGCGACGGCTAGCACGTTGTCCTCGACCCGCTTGTACGGCCGCACGGCGGAAAGTATGAAGCCGTAGCACGAGCAGACGAGGGTCGCCACCACGAGGCGAAGGAATGCGTTCTTCTCGGGGATCAGCAGCACGAAGCCCGTGAGCACGAGCTTGCGCGCCAGCTCGACCGCCTCCCACCAGTACCAGGTCTTCTCGTACTCCCGGTGCAGGAAGCCGGTGGCCCGCGTCAGAGCATTCGGCGACTTGGCCTGCAGCGGCTTGTAGCAGGCGGCGAGGAGCGACGTGAAGAGGACCAGCGAGCCGACGGGCCAGACGACGATGAAGCCAACGGCGACGTCGGTGATGGACTCGTGATCCTCGGTGCCGCACTCGACGCTCGCGTCCTGCCGCATGTAGGAGACCTGCTCCAGGGGCTCGTTCGGCGGAGAGATGGTGTAGGCCTATCAGCAGCACGTTGCCTGAGGGGTGGGGTCTGAGGGGTGGCGTGAGCAACGGCAGTCATCGGCTGGAGGCGCCTGACACGACCACGCGCGGAAGATGGAGGCGCTGATGGAGGGCACGAAGCAGAAGATCAGCACCAAGCCGGCGGGCGTGAGGTCGAGGAGGCCGAGGGCCGCCTCCGCCCACAGCTTTGGGCGCGGTGGCGACGCGGTTCGCCAGCTGTGGAGCCGCAAGGTGATTCCCGCTCCCATGAGCAGTGCGATGAGGACGACGGGGGAGAGAGCGCTGACGAGGAGTCGCTCACCGTAGCCTAGACACTGCTCCGGCAAGAAGAAGCCAGACCAGTCGATGGAGATCACGTTGGCCAGCTCGTCGGTCCAGCCCGTGTACTTGTCCGGCAGCCGCGCCGAGTAGGTGGACGACAAGACGGTGCTGATCTGGTAGAAGCCAAACAGGATCTTCACCTTGGCCGTCAGTCCGCCCCCGACGTAGTACTTGACGGAGCGGTCTGCAAAGCGGAGGATTGGGCCAAGGTATCGCTTCTCCCGCCAGTCCGTCATGCTGAAGGCCCACGCCGCCAGGCCGCACGCGACGCAGAGGCCGAGGACGATGCCTGCGATGCTGCCTGCAGCGGCGCCGCGCGGAGCGCACTCCTTGCACTCGTCGCCGTCGACGAGGTAGTAATTCTCCGCGGCGCAGAGCTGGCACTCGGGGCCGGTGAAGCCAGGGGCGCAGTACTCGTCCGAGCCCCCCTCCTCCAAAAGGCGAGACGCCTCTTTGGCTCCGCGCTCGTTGCCGGAGCACCGCGCCTCGCCGGCCCGGTCGCCCCCAAAATCGCGGCACGCCGTCAGCACGGCGGAGGAGGGGCTGGCGCGCCAATAGCCGGCTGGGACGCCGATGGTCGCGAGAGCGGTGTCGTCCGAGCACTCGGCGTTTGGCGGGCAAGGTTTGCAGTAGTCGGTCGGGGAGGAAAAGATCTCGGCCGGGTCGGCGCTCTGGAGCAAGTAAAAGTCCTTCTGGCAGAAGGAGCAGATGACGGCGCCGCGCTCACTGCTGAGGGGGTAGGGGCAAGGGACGCACTGGCCCTGGCCGGGGTTGGCGGCGTAAGTGCCCGCAGCGCACTCGCTGCACGACTCGCTGCCGACGCCAGAGGCGGTGCCGGGCTCACAGCGCTCGCACTTGGCGAGGCCAGGCGTGGCGGCGACGGAGCCCGGCGAGCACTCTGCCGGCGGCGCCGCGCCGCCGCCGCACGACGAGCCCGCCGGACAGTCGAAGCAGTCGGGCAAGCCGTCGCCGTCAGTGACGTTGGCGTATGTACCCGGCTCGCACGCCGCAGGCAGCTCGAGCGACGCGCCACGAGGACAGAGGCTGCCGGGCTTGCACCGGAGACACTCGGCGGCGCCCGTGTCCTTCTGGTAGGATCCGGCGGAGCATCGCTCGCACTTGGAGAGGCCGGGCGTGGCGGCGAAATGGCCAGGCTCACAGGGCTCGCACGTCTCGCTGCTCTCCGCCCCCGGTGCCGCGCTCGCCGTGCCGATGGGGCACAGCTCGCACGCCGCGCTCGAGCTGGAGCCTCTGTTCGGGTTGAAGCTGCCC